GATGGCTTGGGGATTGAGCAAGAAGTTCAATTATCGGATGAAATTCTTACCGGGCTGCATCGGCAATGGGATTTGTGGAAAAGTGGCCGAGATGGACGTAGGAGTTGAGGCGCCTAATGGCCCATTAATAAATCGGTTGCCTAAAAATTTCGAGTGCCAAGATTCCCTCTAATTGAGTAGACTTGTGTGGTGTGATCTTATTTTAGCGTGGACGCAAGGTACTCGAACGACAAGCTGATTATAAAAAGGGTTATTTACACAAACATAGCTTGACTCTACTGGCGATCAACTTGATACGCCATTTTGCAGCATGCTATGCAATTTAAGCATCAAGCTGACTCCAAGCCGCAGATGGTGGGTTGAAAGCATGCAGTAATTGCCAATAAGATTGGTGTGAACAAAAGAGGCCTCGGATTTTTGGTGATCTACTTGGGGTGGTATGGAAAGTAACAAAATTACACCGCATTCGAGAAGAATACACGTGCCAGCTACATACCGTCTCTTCAGCAGCGGATAGATTTGATTTTCGGTTAAATCGCTAACGATCTAAAGAGATGAGCTCATTTCCAAAATACTATATATGCTCTGCGTGAAATTTCAAGCGAAATCAGAATCAAGTGGTCCTTAGCACGATTCTTCTATCCCATGAAGAGTCTGAAAAATGTGTGATTTTGCGTTTACAAGCCATCATCACGTCTGAAAATATTTTCAAAATCCTGGGGCAAGCAAATCATGATGCGTTAAAAATATATGCGGCGTTTGCATGTTTTTCTTGACAGGCTGTTTATATTTATCCAACCCCAAGAAATAGAAAGGAAGAAATTGCGATCTAGAGCAACAAAAAAGGCCAAATGTGGAGCCACTTCACGGTAGAAGAGTTTCTTAAAGTGATCGTAATGCCAAGCAGCCGAGCTATGTATTCTGCAGTGCTTCCGTGTGTTGATTTAGAGCTGTATTGGGATTAGGGAAACCCCATAGCAAAACCGATTTTTTGGCTTTGTCGAATTGGCAAATAATGGTCATGTTAGCCGTAATTTTTAAATTTTAATGGATGTTGATACTCCAAAAGCATCATTTTTGCAAGATGTCTCTGCAGGAAACTCATTCGAATGCTCTAGCCATTCGTATTTTTCACCTTCGGATCCAGAACTTCCGATATCTCACCTATTTACGTCATCTGCATCTAGCACATCGCCTTTTTTTATCTCATTAAGAGCAAATTCTTCTCAAAAGCCGATTTATGTTAATGAGGATGGAAGGATTTTCTTAGAGACCTTTTCTCCTGCGTTTTCAATGGCACAAGATTTTTTAATTGCCATTTCTGAACCAGTTAGTAGGTATGTCTTTTGCCTTATCATAGACCAAATATTATTCACGAATATCAAATTACACCATATTCCCTTTATGCCGCTGTATCGGTTGGACTTGAAACCGATGCAATTATTGATGTTTTAGACCGATTCAGTAAGACCGAATTGCCCACAGCGTTGGTTTCGTTTATTCGAACCTGCACCCTAAGTTATGGCAAAGTTAAATTGGTCCTGCATCAAGGTCGATATTGGATCGAAACTGCATTTCCTGATATCATACAGATGCTTTTAAAAGATCCTATAATTGCAGAGGCAAGGAAATCATTACCACCTTCTTCAGATAATTACTCCCTATCTTTAGCAAAGGATTCTTCTATTGATATCCCATTTTCAGAGGAGACAAATGAAATTGAAAACTCGACATTTTCTTTTGAAATCCCAGCAGGCTCAGTTGAGCTGGTGAAGCGCAGATGCATTGAAATTGACTATCCAATGTTAGAGGAATACGATTTTCTAAATGACCTTCGGAACTTTCCGTTAGATATTCACTTGACAGCAACCACCTCCATCAGACCGTATCAAGAAGTTGCATTATCAAAAATGTTTGGAAATGCAAGAGCAAGATCTGGAATAATTGTCCTTCCTTGTGGTGCTGGAAAGACATTGGTTGGCATTGCTGCCACTAGTACAATCAAAAAAAGCACCCTTGTTTTGTGTACGTCTGGCGTAGCCGTTGAACAATGGTATCAACAGTTCCGTCAATTTTCTACTATTTCTCCCGATTTGATGGCACGATTTACGTCTTCAACCAAGGAATCGTCTATTGTGATCAACGATGATGATGACCACCCTCAATCCGCTTTGGTTATAATCACCACATACACAATGGTTGCTTTTAGTGGGAAGCGATCTTACGAGGCTCAGCGTATGATGACGTGCATAAAAAAGATCGAGTGGTATTTTGGTTCTTAAAATTTAGGGGCCTATTGTTACTTGACGAAGTGCATGTCGTTCCTGCCAATGTTTTCCGCCGCGTTTTGACCACCGTGGCTGCTCATTCAAAATTGGGACTTACTGCAACCCTAGTTAGGGAGGACGATAAAATTGCCGATCTAAATTTTCTGATCGGCCCCAAGCTTTATGAGGCCAACTGGCTCGACCTAAGCCGTCAAGGCCACATAGCCACTGTGAAGTGCTCTGAAATTTGGTGTCCAATGACTTCTGATTTTTATCGCGAATATCTTGGGGCTTCTGGTAGGCGAAGGCGTCTTTTTTACGTCATGAATCCAAACAAGTTTCAAGCGTGCCAATATCTGATCGATAGCCATGAAAAAAAGGGCGACAAGATAATCGTTTTTTCAGATAATGTTTATGCCCTCAAAGTAGGGGTGTTTTTAACAAACTGTTGTTATCACTAGGCTTATGCGCTCAAGTTGAAAAAGCCATTCATTTATGGCCCAACCTCTCAAGTTGAACGGATGCGGATATTGCATCAATTTCAAAACAACCCAAATCTTAACACCATATTTCTTTCCAAAGTTGGAGACACGTCCATTGATCTTCCTGAAGCCACGTGTCTCATCCAGATATCATCACATTATGGATCGAGAAGGCAAGAGGCACAGCGATTGGGTACGATAATTGAATCTGTTTTCTTTAGGACGTATTCTCCGTGCTAAGCGACGAATGGACGATGGATTTAATGCCTATTTTTATTCCTTAGTGTCAAAAGATACCGAAGAAATGTTTTATTCCACCAAACGCCAGCAGTTTCTTATTGACCAAGGCTATACTTTCAAAGTGATCACGGAATTGGAGGGAATGAAAAAAAATAGACACTCCTTGGTATATTCGACCCAAAAAGAGCAGTTAGAGTTGTTAAAATGTATAATATTGGCTTCTGAAGTAAGGCCATTTCATAAATCATATAGACCGAAGTGGCTGAGGATGAAAATCTGGGCACCTCTGCAGATGACATTGATGGCCCCGACACAGGATATGTCTCCTCGGAGGCCCAATTAAGAGCGTCAACCTCGCCTCACAAATCGCTTTCTTCATTGACAGGTGGATCCGACCTTGTGTATGTGGAGAAAAACAAAAGGATATCCACTGCTGTCGCATCTACGAAAGGCCAATCACAGCAGACCAGCCGACATTCCTTATTTAAAGCATACTTTAAATCCAAAAAGTGATTTATTTATAAAAAGATAACCTCAAACCATTGAGTGCATTTATTTTTAAGCAATTATTGCTTGATCAAAAAGACATCACCATTGATGATGGGGTTTCGTTTAATTTTTAATGGTGCAGCCATCTTCTTCAAAAGGAAATCTTCATGATTGCTTCATTAAATGTTCAAAATATCCGTCAAAGAAATTTACATATTCCTTTCTTTGTTTGTTTTCGATCCTGGCTCTTTGTACACGCTTCTATGGAATATCAAATGGATCCACGGTCATGTAAGACTAACTCTAGCATGATAACACACATAGTTGGGATGAGGCTCATTTTGGAAAATTTGGTAGCTATTACTTGAATCACACTTTCTATACGGATGTACATCCCCCGCTTGGAAAAATGTTTATTGGGTTTGCCGGGTATCTTTCTAAATACAATGGCTCATATACGTTTCCGTCTGGGGAACACTATCCGCCCCATGTAAATTACATCTCTATGCGAATTTGCATTGCCACCCTGGGTGCTCTTGCTATTCCCCTTGTATTCATGTCATGTATCAATATGAACATGGATAAATGGACATCTGTTTTCGTAGCCACGTGCCTATTGTTTGGTGTGTGTTTTATATCTGACAATTAGACAACGGCCTTATTGGTATATCCAGACTCATCCTGCTGGATTCGATTTTAATTTTTTTCACTGCTCTGGCCACATATGCGTTCACATCATATTTGAGCTCTTGCGATAGGTGTTGTCTCTTTTTTCTTTTCCAATAGGCCCTTTAGCTACGAAAACA